TTAGATGCATTCCTGCTTTCCATGTTGTTTGTGCCTTCTAAGGTTTGGGGGCAGTATTTCTGCTTTGTTTCAGTGCATGTCCCATGGTTTCCTACTAAAATCCCGTAACTTTTCATATCACAGACATTTGCAGGGAGGAGGGCATGTGCCGCTTCTGTTGCACTATAGTGCAAGAGTGCTCCTCCAGATGGCGAGAATGCAGTAACACTCGTGACAGAATGGCTAAGAAAGCAGCAGGGTGTGCACACAGCCCAGTGTAAATCCACCACTCGTGCACTCTTATTGTGTTAATGACAAGTTGCAGAAAACACCCACAAAAAGACACCAGTCTGGAGGGGCCCATGGAAAGTCCTAAAGAAAGTACTAAAGAGACAGACCTGCTGAATTTGCTGGGGTTTATTTCACAGAAAACATGCATGGAATAGAGCTGCAGGCCTGATCACGGATTCACCTCCAGGAGACAGTCTATGTTTACTCCAAAATAAATCCCATCACGTTTTTAATGAGATTTACTCCCCAACTTAGTAAGCCTGGTTTCAAAAGTGCAGCTCTTGAACACAATCCAGAAATACCCGTGCCTGATTCCTACAGAATTCAGTTGTACAAGAGGGCCCAGTGAAGAGTTGAACAGCATGATCCCGTTTACTCCGAAGAAAGTCCCCTTGAGGTTTCCTCTGAGAAAGTGTGTAGGATCACACTGCACATCCTATTAATTTCAACGACATTTAAACATGGATGGTAACGTTCTTCGGATAGTTGCCCCACATCTGTTTGACTTGACTTTCTAGAGCAGGTGTGGCTAAACTGTGCCCCTCCAGATGTTGCTGGACTACAGTTTCCATCATTCCTGACCATGCTGGGTGGGGCTGATGGGGTAGGACCAGTCCAACAACATCTGGCAAGCCACAGGTTCCCCATTCCTGCTCTAAAGTCAGATAGCTGAGAGACTTAATCCATTGCTTCAAGAGCAGCTGCAACAAATTCATTGGAGTGTACATTAGAGCTGGCTCTCAAAGCGATTGGAGGATCCCTATAATAAGTGGGAGAAAGTAAAGCTTTATTTCTTTTTTTAAAAAACCTGATTATTTTGAATGAGTTGGTTGGGGTGGCTTTTGCTTTTGGTTCCTTCTCTCGATTGTGTCTGAAGTTGCAGTTCCAATAATTTCCTACTTGATTATATTGTAGAAGCATCGAATAAGAAAGGTGGGGGGGAGGAGGAGAAACCCTACAGGTTAAAATAAAATGTTATAGATTTCATTAAAAATAAAATAATCAGAATCATAATTTAAGAGGTTATTTCCTGGTGGAAATCCATTTGCACTGTCTCCCCCAAACATTAGACGAAATGGCATTGTTTACAAAAATTTATTAATACAAACGTTACACACTTTGAAATAACAGTTCTCAAAGTCCTATTGATGGAAACCACGGGTGTTTTACTTTTTGCTGTAGTGCTTTTTTGATACTCAAGTTGCTACACAGAAGGAAGAAAAAATATATAGATATAGATAGATATCTCCAAAATACTGACATCTAACCTCAGTGATCACTGGATTTCCAATTGGATCCATGGGATTTAAGGCTCTTGGCGACAGAGGATAGCTATCCTAGACAGGCGACCACGGGCTGTGTGGAGAAACGTTACGCTGGCAGGCTGACTGAAACTGACTAGCCCACTGGGCTAGCAAGGCGAAGCTGAGCACGACTAGCACGTCAAAAGGGAGCCCCTAGAGGTCGCCGTCGCGTCATCGCACCAAACATGGGACACAAACACACAGCAAGAGGTCCTGCCCGTTGTCCTCGTCAAAGGAACAACTCGCGAGGCTTGGAGACTTAACACCAAAAGAAGGAAAGGGAAAGGGGGGGAAAGCGAAAAGAAAGAAATGCAAGCTGATGTGTTGCAGCATTGTAGGGCCACTAAATAGCCATCTGTGAACTCGTGGCGATTTAAAAGGCGAAGGGAAGGCACGAAAAGCTGCAAACGGCATCCTGCGTCACATGGCCTGAAGAGAATGCAAAATTCAAGTAAGATTGATCTCATACACACCACTCAGGCATCAGATCGAAGGCCCTCGACGGCTGCGCTACCGCTGGCTGCAGCCGTAGCCCGCCTGGGACCTGCATGCAAACTCGATTGGGTTTGCTGTGATGGATTACTCGGGGCCCGGATCAGACGGGGGAGGGGGGAGTCTGACGGGTTAGACGGGCGCCTTTTCTCTGCTCGACGGCTGAGTGGCTCGTAAAGCAAGACGAGGCGCTGGGCTCTAGGGGGCGCTGGCGTGCACCTCCGCCCCGGCTTTGCTCTTAGGAGACGCGTTCCATTCATTTCAACGGGGAGCCGGCTGCTAACCTGCCGTCGGGATCAGAGTGCCAATCTCTCAAGAGTTTCCAGATCTCCCCACCACCCGCTTTCAGTAGCCGAGGAGCTGGGAATCCTGCTGACGATTCTCACAGGCTAAAAATCCCCTTTACTCGGAAAAACAAGGGCCATTCATAACAGGGCTGTCGTTTCAGACACCGAGGATAATTCTACGTTAAAGTTACGGGGCGGGCACAGCAGAGCTCCAGGTGCGCTGCGCATTTTAAAGCAGTCTCCTACCCCTTGAAACGGTCTCGGCTTCTCTCAAAGAATTCTGGGGACCGTAGTTCCTTAAGAGTGCTGAGTTGCTAGGAGAGACCCCTGTTACTCCCCTCAAAGAGCTACAGTTGTCAGAGCTCCCTGAGTAGAGGGGCTGATTGTTAAACCACTCTGGCAATCGTAGCTCTGTGAGGGGAATAGTGCGTCTCCTAACAAGGCTCATCACCCTTAAGAAACTACAGCTAGCGGGATTCTCTGCGGGGTGCGATGCTGCTTTCAATGTGCAGCGCAGCTATTTGTTGCGGGTACTCTTTCACATACCCCATAATAACTAGAAGCAATGTCATCAACACAGGGGGGGGGAGGTTGCCTTCTCCCCTCTTCTATCTATCTATCTATCTATCTATCTATCTATCTATCTATTTAAAGCAAAGGAGGCAGTCCTTAGCATGGTCACATTTATCTAGCTTTTAACTTGACTAACTAGAGGTGTCAAATACAGGTAAAATACAGGAGGAAGAATCACACGGAGCTGGAAACCTGGGCAACTTTTTAACTTGGGAGATGCGCTTTGCATCGAGGTTAGGTTTTCACCCCGTTGACTTCAGTTGAACAGTCAAGCAAAATCCCACTGCTAAAAAAAGATATTTCTTTCCAACACATGAATGGAAGGTGACAACCTCAATGGATTTAGATCCAAGTCCTACAACAAAAACAAGGAGATCTGGGGGCTCTAGAAATAAGACGCCCACCCGTTTGGTCGAGTCTGAGCTGCGGGAGACCCAATTAATCCGATGCCACCCTATGATTGAAGCTGATTGACAGCCTGATCCTTTAAGGCGCATTGCAGCCGACAGACGACATCCCAAGAGGTACTCAGCTCCTTAATGCAATGGTACCGTCGAGACAGGACCCTGGGAAGAAAGACCTGGGTCCCTAAATACAGTAGGGCTGGTTTACCATCTGAAGGGGAGCGGGAGAGCCGCTAAGGCTATTCAACCCAGGGTAAAAGGACCGTACTGCACCACTGTGTTAAGAGAACCCTCAACAAATGTGTTTTCCATTGAAATGAATGGGACGTCCTTCTGGATAAGTCTGCTGACTTAAAAATGCCAAGTTCCCGTGATTTCAGTGGGAACAGTGAGAGGGGCGGGGTGTTGCTTGTTCTTTGAGCAGCTTCCGTTCATTCATACCTGTGACTGGCGCCGTGCGCAGGCGCATGCCAAATAAGTGTGAATGAACAGAAGGCAGGACAAAGACCATCAACGAGAATGGACGGTTTGGAACTGCAACCTTCAGCCGCATTGAGTTCAACAGAACTAGATCGGCTTCGAACCACGCTATTTACATTTGGCAGTTAATTCTCTGGAGGAAAGAGGGGGGAAACAAGTCCCTTCTGAGTTGGGACTATTTCAATACCCACTGCACACAATCCAAGGGATTATTTCAATGCCCTCCACACACTTCACACACAGACACAAACGCACGCGCAGGCGCACACGCACTCACATTTCAAGGTCCCCGTCCCCACAGAAAGATGCTTGATCAGGTCTTAGAAACTGAAGCGCAGAGGGAACACTACACATTCTAGCATGACCAAAGTTGATTGTATGAAATAAATTTTACTAAGCGGTTAAAGCCATAATGTAGAAAAATACATTTTAAACCTCCAAACTCAATAAATCAACAAGGAACCGAAAAGGAAAGGAAAAGGAAAGGAAAAAAACTTTTTCGTCATAGTGCATAATTCTTTAGTGGTGGAATATATAGAGAGATATATAGATATAGGCGCTACAGCAGGGGGGGAGGGGCCTAAGACAGTCTGACAATTAAGAGCTTGCATCATAACAAAACCAAAAGTGCCTGAGGCGTTCACAATATAATTGTTGGTTGTTGCTTTCGAGGGAAAAAAGAAACGAAAGTGGCCCCGATGGAAAACACAACATTTGCGAGAGAGGCCATCGAGGGCGGAGAAGCGAAAGTTCTATCAGGGAACCATGAACTGGGGGCGCGGGGAGGGAGAGAGAGTGAAAGTGACTCCCACCGGGCGGGCGGGCGGGGCGGGGGGGCGATTATCAAGAGAGAACGCTAGCCAATATATCACAAGATGAGAAGAAGGATGGACAGCACTGGAGAGTTACACGTGAATACTTTGCATCAAGATCCGATACCAAACAGCTCGTAGGCCGATGGATCTCTTTGAGGAGGGATCCACACCTGCAGCAGAATAGGTGGAAACGGAAGGTGGTAGAGTTGCTTAAGGTTGCAGAGTGGAATATACCATTTCAGATTACAGGTGCACTTTTTTAATTTAAAAAAAATGCTCCCTTTAATTATTTCTATATCTTATTAACTTCTGGCGTTGGGAATGGAGGAATGGGACTGTACTAGAATCTTCCTTCCAGTTTTCTACTGGCAGGACTCTTTCTTTCTTTCTTTCTTTCTTTCTTTCTTTCTTTCTTTCTTTCTTTCTTTCTGAAGTGCTATTGTCCACTTTGCCATCACGAGTTTCACCTCCGTCTGCTGCATGGATAGATCCGGCCTGATGGGGCAGGTTATCTTTAACTCCTAGAACCTACACTGTGCCAAGTCCAAAACCCAAAGGGATGGGGTAGGGGGGTCGTTTCTTCTCTATTCCGCCCTAGATCTGAACTCCGAACTTCCTAACGGATCGAACTTATTACTTCTAAGGCTACCTCAGGGTTGGATCCAGACTTTGGCGTTCTTAGAGTTGATGCATCAATCTATTCTGAGCATGGCTAAGTCTGGACCCTGCATATGCACAGTGTGAGATATATATATTTATACACACTGTGTATATATTTATACACAGTGCATTGTGTATCTATATGTGTATATCTATATACACACCTGCATATGGGAACAGGCCCCCTTCTTACTCTGCTATCCCAGAAACCAGAAAAAAACAACTCTTCCAGGATTTCTCATTGGGGCGCAACTATTTATTTCGACAATTTGCATCCTGCTGAACTACAATCGTCTCTTAAACTACCGGACCCTGGTCCTCTCTGCTCACAAGCGCTAAGGCGGATCGGCATGACCCTTCACCCCCTCTCCCCTCGTACAGGCAGGGAGAGGCGCTCCTTTGCCCCCCCTCCTATTGAGAGGAGTGGCCAGGAGAGAGGGGTTCTGGGGCGAGGGGCGGCCGATGCACCTTAAACGGTCTTGCAGGCTCCGTTCTTCACTTGGTCCCAGAGCAGATCCAGATACATAGAAAAAAGGGCAGTCAGAGTAAAGCAGGGAAATGTCATTTCTAGCAAGGGCGGGGGGGGGAGGGGGAAGGAGGAAGGACGTGTCAAAGGAGCCTGACAGGAGACTCACCGGGGCAAGGAACTGCGTCAGTAATTCTCCCAAATCAATAGCCTCATATTCCCCTTGTAGCAGGGCATCTTTGTCTATGTACAGTAGCAAATGGAGAATAGTAATTTCTTCAACCCTGTCATGGATAAAAATACTCTCCTTTTAATTTCCATTACAAAAATAGGAGCAATATTCAAAACAATGATTGTCTTCTCCATTTTTTCTCTTCTTTTTTTAAATATAAAAACATAAAACAGCTCAGGCGAATGTCCTCGGTCTCTTGTGCAAATGCTAACCACTGCAGCATCAATTGGTCCTCTCTAATTCCCTAGTCTATCGAGCTAGCTCTAGCAGGTCTATAGATTCTAATCTTAACATTTAGTTAGTTAGTTTAAGGATTGGTCCACAAAGTAGATCTGTGCGTTTTCTCTAGTGCTTATTCTTAAATATTATTTTGGTACAAAAGAAAAACAATATTATTATCAAAATATTCATTTAATGGCTTTACTTCATACATAAATACATGTTTAGATAACACAGGAGCGGTGATTGATCAGTCAGTTTGGAAATGACTTTTTAGGGACGGGGGCGGGCTGGGGGGGGTCCTCTCTCGGATTTTTTTTCCCCGGGGGCTTTTGTATACACAGGAGCGATTGGGAAACTCATCGCTACAAATAGGCTACTCGGCGTCCTTTGTTTCTAACTCTTTGTTTATACCTTTTCCCCAGGACTGCTGCCAAGTATTTCTTGACAGCCATTTGTTTTCGGTAGCGGCTGTAGCTGTCTGTGAATATGCCGTCCGAGTGCCTTTTGGAAAGCGGTTCCGAGTCATCCTCCAGGCCGCTCGCTCCGCTGCAAGGAGTAGGGGAAAGAGAGGAGGAGAGAAAAAGAAGAAGGCAAAGCGAAACGTGGTTGCAAAATCGGAAACGGCCAACCCTGCCGCAGGAGCTACGTCTTTCGGAAGCAGAAAAGGGAAAGGGGTCGGGAAATTGCGCCCAAAATGCGCAGGCAGGCCACCTTAACGCCCAGAAGGCTGGTCAGTTTCACTGCCAATGGGCGTTTGCTGGATAGACTCACTGTAGACTCTTATTGCGCATCATCTTGTTCATAAACAAGAGGAAGGAGTCACTTTCTGTTCTTCTTTATCTTCCATTGTATTGCTGTCGTGTGTGTGTGTGTGTGTGTGTGTGTGTGTGTGTGTGTGTTTCGGGGGGTTTCCCAGCTTTCCCTTTTCTTTCCTACCCAGGCTTGCTCCACAGGCCAATGCCCCCCGTGCCAAACAATAAGCCCCTCGCAATCTGCCCCGATTAATCTTCATCCTTTCAACAATTCGAAGCTTGTGTGTGTGTGTGTTTCCCCCTTTATATCATCCTCATTATCATCATCCTTTTTATCACAGAGTTATCCAAAAACATTTGGTCTAGGGAAGGATCTGGCGGTGGAGTGTGCAGGGATCGGGGTTTTGTTTTGTTTCTTAAAAGATGGGGGTCGCTCCTTTCGAGCAGCGCGAGCAACACGTAGAGCAGGGGCCAGAGCAATAAAGGGCAGGTTCTTTCCCCGGCGCCAAGAAACAAAGGCTTTCACCAACCACGCCGCGGAAGTTGAAGTGTGATCATAATACAAGTCGACAGTCGGGAGACAATCTCTTCCTGGCATGAATTATTCATCCTGAAATGGTGTAATCCATTTCCCCCTGGGCTTTATTAAAATGTTGCCTTCTGCCGATACACGCGCGGGCTGGCATCCGGCTAGGAGGGCTGATTTCAAAGCAGAGGTCGGGGACGGGGGGGGGGAGAAGGAGGGAGGGGCTGCTTTGTTTTTACTTCCCATTTTATTTCTTTCCCGCACGTTCTGTGGTCAGTCTGCGCCTGGATCTATGGAAATGATGCCCTCTTCCTCCCAAAGGAGCCTCGAGTATTTATTTAATCATCCCCAGCGGGTTGGAGGGGGTCGGTCAGACTCTGCAGAGGAGCGAACTGTGCAACTGACAAGGTCTTTATCAGCTGAGCTTGTCGCCGCACCTTTTCATCCCGTCAGGCTGAATGGGGCGGGGAGGGAGGCCGGTTGTGTCACATTCGAGGGAGCGTGGAGGATTAGCAACCCTATTTAACAATATAGCTCAATCCTCTGAAGGTTGTAAACCGGGAAAGCCCACCTCTCCGGGAGTTCAGCCCAGTTCTGTTTAATAATACTCTTCTCTGGATGACATTCCACCCCTAGTTTGATCAACAGCCCAACTTAACGGCGATGACCCGACTGGCACCCACGTTCCCTAAACGCGCTGACTTAGAGACAGACTTGTTGGCATAGCTGTCAACGTTTCCCTTTTTTAAGGGAAATTCCCTTACTCCGAATAGGATTCCTCGCAAGAAAAGGGAAAAGTTGACAGCTATGCTTGTTGGTCTTCCACGCACCCTGGGACAGTTTGATCCAGAACTGTGAATCGAACTGTGATCCAGGTTTGCATGCGTTTCTATCGTTTGTGCAGAGATGACAGATCCGCTGAGCTCTACAGAATAACATGCCCAGTGCCATTTAATGCATTCTAACCCCATGGGATGGTCCATTAAGATTTGTTCCTTAGATTTTCCCCTACCCCTTACACACCCACACTCCCTCCCACCCCCACCCAAAAAAGGAAGACCGTCTTACCCCACCCGCTTGGCCATCAGAGAATGAAGGTACTTCCTCGCCGATAACTGGCCCAAGACTTTCCTGTAGGCTTTATTAAAGATCCCGTCCGCATGCCTAGAAAGAAGAAACGAAGGGGGGAGGGAAGCGGTGGAGAGAGGGAGGGAGGAGGAGGGAGACACAGAGATCAAAATAAAACAGGCAACAAGCCACGACCAGCAAGCTGATGGAGGGACCTAGTACTACCCAGAGCTCATCCTGCAGGAAAACCTCAGCAAGGGGGTGGATCTGGGGGGTCGGCCTCTGCTTGGGTCCCCCAGGGACCTCGGGCCGCGCCTGCCTGGGCAGCGGAGTCTCGAGCGCGCGCGCGCTCCCATCCCTCTTCCCACCCCCACCCCCACCTGGCAGCTGTCGGGGCAACTCGGGTTATTTTCTAGGATGGGGCGCGCGGCGCGCTGCTCAGAAACTGGCTTTTTCCCCCCGGAGAGAGGTAAGTCGGATTGCTCGCCTCCTTCTTCCCCACCCCGTCTGTTCTCGGTCTGACGCGGAAACCTTGCAGAGGAGGATCCTCGGCTTGAGAGGGGTGCTTCTCCTCCTCACCCTCTTCCAAAGACAAAGCGGAGGAAGGCTGGGAAACCACCTCTCTTCCCACCCCACCCGCACTGGCCCGCCACACCCACCGCGCGGTCCATTGCGCAGCTGCTCCGGCGCAAGGGGCGCGTCCAGTCCAGGTCAGGGTGGCCAGGAGCGCAGCCTGCTTTGAACTCTATCTATCTGTGGCTTAATCACCTCTTTTCCGGTGGGTAATACAAGGTGTACACGTCGTCCAGCATGGAGGAAGGGTCGGCTATCCCGAGGGGCTCGTTGTCGAAGGCGTAGTCGGGCAGGGTGTTGCCGTCCTCGTCGTACGCTTCATCTTCCAGCCTGCTGTAGAGGGAGACAGGCGCCGCGCCTTGAGTGCGGGATCGCGGGGTGGGTGGGCACGTCGAGGGGGCGGCGGTGGGAGGAGGGGGAGGCGGCACTGGCTGGGACCAGGAGGCACCCTCCCCCCCACTCAGATGCACCCATGGCGCCCGAGGCTCGCTCCCTTTCCCACCACTTCGCTTCCCCTACGCTTGGTCTGCCCCCTTAGCCGCGAGGAAGAAGACTGCCAGCCAGCTAAGGGAGCCCCCCCCCCAAAAAAAGGGAAAGAAAGAGCCCCACAGGCTGCCAAAACGAGAGGAGGGAAGAGGAGGAGGGGCAGACATCTCTGCAACAATTCCTCCTGCTCGCCAGCCGCCTGTTTTGTCCCTCTATTACGCCTTCAATCCAGGGGTCCACGTCCAGTTCTCCGTTCCCAGGTAGCCTTCAAAGGTCTTCGCCCATCTTTTCTCATTCAAGCCAAAGGCTTTTCGCGCTCCCAGTTGACCCAGTGGGACGAAGGAGGAGGGGATCTTGAACTCAAGACCTCCCCACCCCGGAATCCTTTCTGCCTTTCTGCAAATCGGTTTCGTTTCGATTTTATTTCGGTGTCTCGGACAGTTCAGAGGCAGTGGAAGTGGAGTGGATCAGGGCATGCATGGAGGCTGGGAGATTGGGTTGAAATCCTCGCTTGGCCATGTCACTTGTTGGGAGGAGACCTTGGGCGCGTAGGGACGAATTAACCATTACATTGCTAGGGTTCGGGCCAGTGATGGGAACCTGTGGACCTCCGGGTGTTAGCGGACTCCATCAACCCCAGTTAGGCTGGATGTTGAGACAACAACCGGAGAGTCTCCTGGGTTAGGCCCTCTGTTTCCCAGTTAAGCTCAATGGGCGACCTCGGACCCACCGCTTTCTTGTAGCCTTGTCTTCCTCACAGGGTTGTTGTGAAATGAGAATCTCTGTATGTAGGCCTGAACTACATCACTCGTGACTTTGCCACAGCTATAGGGTAGAAGAGGGATTTCCCTTTAAAGAAATTAGTGTTCTGATATTTATCTATTTCTTTTCTTATTTTAATACATATTAATATAAGATAATTCGTTTGATGAATTAATGCTTCTCTCCCTCGTCAACATACAGTTCCCTCCTATTAGCCTGAGATCCCTTGCACCCTTAATCCAGGCCTGTGGGCAACGCAGAATCTAACCAGGGAACGGTGTAAAAACGATTGGGAGATGAAATGATCTTTATACACCCAACACACGCCATTCACACGCAGTGTCTGGGAAGCAGGCCAGAATCAGCGTGTGAAAAATAAGCAATAGGGTTTTTATTATGGCTATATTTTTAATGCCCAGATATTTTCTTCACATATTTGAAAGGGCTCTGGTAAGACATACTTTTACAATGCATAAGATTTAACCCCTCGCATCTCCTGGTAGGACTGTCTGAAACCCAGTATCGACCAGTTCTCCTCAGCCTTGGGTCCCAGATCATTCCGGATTACAACGCCCGTCATCCCTGACCATTGGCTAAACTGGCCGGGGCATGATGGGAGTTGTAGTCTAATAGTATATGGAGCTCCAAGACTGAAGAACATTGGAAATCCTAAACTGACTGCAATGCTGTGGCTCGGTTTAAGGCAGCTTCCTGTGGGCTGGGTTTTCTCCCCACCTTCTCCCAAGGCCTCAGGGTGTCCCTACTCCTGAGAAGTAGGAGGACACCCCCTGGGGAGGAGACGTCTCTAAAATTGCAGGAATGGAGCGGATCTGGACTCGGGGCATGAGTTTGCGTTTCTCCCCTTCCATCCTTCCTCTGCGCAATCAGACAACACGCTCTCCACTCTCTTTTCTGCGTCTTATAACGGTTCCCCACCCCTCCCCGCTTCCCACCTGGCCTGATCTCCGTCGTGGTCTCCCTGCTGCCGGATTTAGGTCACTGCGCGTCTCTCCGGCAGCTATTTTCGTCTGCGGAGCTCTGGCAGGAGCTATCAATAATGGATGCTCCTCAAGTGTTTCGCGGCTGCTAATTCAGGCGCTTGAATGGAGCCAAGAGCCGCCCCCGCTACATCCACTGCTGGGGGGAAGGAGGGTCCCCCTCCCCGGGACTGACAGCTGCTCCCACCCCCCGCCACCCAGCCCCACCAACTCCCAGGTCTGGGTTGGCAAAGAGGGCTGAAAGACCTGGGGGAACCTAGGACAACAATCTTCCAAGAGGGTGGGGAGGCTGGTTCGTCTCAGGACAACCTCAGAGCCTGGGCAGGAGCGTCCCGGCGCGTTAGGCACTCTGTCGCCAGGACTGAGCCGCTTTCATTCTCAGTGCCTCCTCCCCGGGGGCAGGGAAAGCCTCGTGCTTCCCCAGGATTGGTGGCAGATCACAAGAATCCGCCCCTCCTCCTCCCAATTCTTCTGATGTAGAAACCAATAGGGGTCAGTAGCGTTCTTGGCTTCTGTCCCTCTTAAAGAGGAGGGGGGGAAGAACGCTGGGGGAAAGCACCCTGTTGGTCTGGGCGCAGCAGCCTTCCCGAACTCAGCACCCTGACGGAAGTCCTCAGCACCTCCCCGCAAGCGGTCTCCGCTGGGCCACCTTGGAGGGATTTTCGAAAAAGCGCAATATTTGTCTTGCTGGCTCAAAAATCCCATCTTGCTCTGCCTTCTGTCCTCTAGAGTGGTTTGCCCTAAGCGTTTGGGAAGTTCACAAGCAGCCGTTCGTTACAGATCGGCTGCTCCTGATCAAGGAGGCTCCACTTTTAATAAGAGGAAATTTGGAACAAAGGGTTATAAAGTCGATACAAGCAACTTTGGTTATGCGGAAGGAGCCTTGTGGCGTATTAAAGGTTATAGACTCCTGGTCGGCTCAGGCTCCCTTTTGGGTAATTTTGGAAGCAACAAGGCAGCCAATCTCTACTACCGACCGTCTGTCGATACTGCTAATGATAACAAGGAAATGCTCCCGGGTGGTGTTACAGGCTTCTCCTGCCATCCTAAAAGTAAAGTTGCTATCATCAATCCATAGTCTATACTCGTCGATATTGTCTTCTAAAACAATCTACTATAAATCACTATGGAGCTTATTGCTAAAGAAACGTGCTCAGGTTCCTGGTAGGAGACAGTTGACTGAGGGATGCAGTTTAAACAGCCTAGATTTTTAAAAAAATTCATTGGAATTTAACTTCTGGAATATGGTTATTCCAGAAGCAAACCTTTTGGTAAGAATACCAGTTGAATGTCATTTGGTGGAGCGATCTTAGTAGTCCATTCACATTTTCCTTTCAATAAAAGTTATACTTGCGGGAAATCAATTTAGTAAGGCTCAATCCTACAGTGTTTCCATTTAGAAGACCCGCACCATCGAAGCTTTAAAATCTTACAGAGAAATAAGAAGATCGAAATGACAAACTGCGCCAGCCAATAGAATTTCACGGATGGGGCCAACCCTACACACTTCACGCGTATACAGTCTGGGCCACGGCGATTCACTTTAAGCTGCCTTCCCTAGATGCGCACCTTCCTTCTAAGCACGGCTGCTTAAGCAGCAGGCGCCATTGAAATTAGCGGGGCCTCCGCCAGGTACATGCATTAGTCCTACCGAGTTCAACGATTCCAAGTACTGTAGGATGTAATCGTATCAATGCATCATGTGTGGATCGCGTCGCCCATCATACATACCGTAACACTTCTGCTGTAATATATTACTCACTAGATGTAATTTCCTACCTGTGATCCGTACCGCCAGAAACATAGCAGAGTCCTTAGCTATAACCCAAAGCCTTCCTCTAACAATTTGCCTACAGGTTCAGTACCTGCCAGGCAAACGCAGCAGGTAATAGGCAGCCAAATTCGGGATTAGACGTCTACATGTTTACAGGTATACCTATGTCCTAGATATAAACATACTTTCGTTGTGAGCCCAGGGATGCTCCTATGCACACAATCTAAGATCATAAAAGGGTTTGTTCCAGAATAAATGTGCATAGAATTGGGCTACAGGTACATTTATTTCGGAGTCAACGTTTTAGATATCAGAATGGCTGGTCTATCATAATCTGCCGGTATTTCTCAATGTTTGGCACTCTGATTATCTGGAAAGAAACTCCACATATCTCACAACTGTTGCAAACAAACACGCATAAGCTCCACACACCCACACCCTGCTTCTAAACGCATAACTTGGAGTTAATAGCCCAGGAAGATTTAGGATAGCAGCCTGGCATGTCAATGAGTGGCTTTATATTTTGGTTTATGGAATGGTGGTATAGAATTCATACCACAGAAAAGAAAGCGAATGGGAACCCCAAGATAAGCATTGCTTATATTGGAGAAAGCGGAGGAGGGTGAAATGAAATTGTATACATTCCGGAGACGAATATATTGTAGGATATGGCGATTTCCTACGAGCGTTTAATTAAGTAATTTTCAGGCGCGCGCACCAGCACGCACGCGCACTCTCTTTCACAGAGAGAGAGAGAGAGAGACACACCAAACGCAACTTGCACAGTCGCTCGGTAGTCAATTTCACTGCTGCGCTAAGGACGGCAGCCTGTGTTTCTAACCTGGAGGGTTCCTTAGAGCATCAGCTATCAATGTCTCTAAGCAAGTGACCTAACCCGGACTTGGAACCTTGAGCTGTGTGGGTTCCCCAAGGTTAGAGAATGAGGGAATTCTTGGGGAGTTTTCCTTCTTGGCAAGGAAAGGGACAATTTGTCTCTAGCTGGAGGCTAGAAGGCTGAATCTGAGCTGGACAGCTCCCAGCGAAGCGTCTGGACCCGGTTAGCAGTGGCGAGAGAAGGGTGGGGAAAAGAAATCCCGTGCAGTATAATAAGCCAAGCCCTGGCTCCCAGTCGGGTGGGGAGAGCCGGGCATTCACTCACCTCAGCGCGGGGTATTGGAGTCCAGCAGCAGGCGAGCAGTAGACGCTGCAGTGCATGATTATCCCATAGACCAGCAGGGCGAGAAGCGCTTTGTTACACATTGCCACTCTAGGAGGGTGGGAAAGAGAAACCGCGGTCACAAGGGGCTCCTAGGGGGCTCCCTGTCCCCTTCCCCAGCTTTGTCCAGTAAAGAATCAGCTCTTGTCACCTTGAAGCTATCAGATGCTGGGGAACCCGCCTGTGGGACTTTTCACCAACCCAGGCACAACCTCTCCCACCCGCCCCCCTCCTCCCCTCCCGGCACTGCCGTGCCCCTCTCCCCCGCCCCGATTCCGCTCATTCGCCTTACCATTCAACTCTGGAAACCAGGCGCAAGACTGGATCTGAATCAAGGAGGATTTCTCCCTTCTTGTTGTTGATGTTGTTGTTCTCCTCCTTCTCTTGCTCTCTTCCTTCCAGGAAGTTTTGGTGGGGATAGTTAATCCTCCTGAAGCATCGCCTCTCTCTCGGTTTCCCTCTGTGTGTCTCTTGCTTTCTTCCTCTGATGGGCAAAGAGGGAAACCGCAGAAAGGGAGGGGGCGTGGGACAGACAAGCAGATCGACTTGTTAGCTGCCTAGCTTGGGGGGGGGGGTTGCTCAGCTCAATTTTTTTAAAAGTTGCAGGTGTAAAGTGGAGTCTGCCAGGCAGGCAAGAGGCAAGGGGAGAGAGAGAGAGAGGGTGAGGAGAGGAAGAAGGGGAAATCCTTGCAAGAAGGAAGAAGGAATCAGAAAGGGAGAAAGTGGAAACTGGCTGCGTTATAGCAAATGCTACAGAGCGGTTCTTTCCCCCTTCCCCGAGCAGCTCCTGGCTTCAGCGTCGATTTGTCTCCTTTTGCTTCACTACCTCCTCCTTTCTTCTCCTTTCTTCCCCCTTCTGTGCCTTCCAAGCTGACCAGCTTTGGCTGCTGGGTGCTGACAGCCCCGGCTCCCACCTTAGCTACCAGATCTTTTGCACTCTCTTTGCTTTCTGTTCCCAGCTCTCTGTTGTAAACAGGGGGTCTCTCTCTCTCTCCCTCTCTTTCTCTCAATCTCTCTGCCTTGTTGCCTTGCCGGGTGTCTGGCTTGTTTTGTTTCTCTGTTGATGTGGCGTTCGGATTTTTATTTGCCAATGACTTTTTTTTATTGTTGTTGTTGCAGTCACGTAATAATCGGTATCAGAAAAGACGTCACCACCCCAATTCCTCAAGGAACAGAACAATCCCAACTTCAAGATGATGCGAGCAGGAGTCATAAGCTTCTCATAAGCACTTTAACTTACACCTCCCCTCCCCCCCCCGCCCCTTCCCAACCAAAACTCTCACTGAGGTGGCTAATTTTCAAATTTCACATTTCCCCTATATTTCAGAGACGGGTCGTTCGATTGCATGTCTCTTGCAGAAAGTCTGTCCTTCACATATACTTTTTTCTCCTCTTCCTAAACGTCTTGCTTGGAAATAATCCCCACTGATTTCAATGGAAATTGCTTCCAAGTAAGTGGACTCCGGTCATTTTTCAAGCAGAAGACTTGCTATTTGTTTACGAAGCCAAGAAATCTTGGGCATGTGCTTCTTTAACCAGTGCAATTAAATATTTCAATCTCTGTTTTTGTTGCCGTCGTCATTACATTACTATTAATTTCCCCTCCAAAGCTGTTTGAAGTCTTAGAGGATTCTCTATAATTTTCTAATTAGAGATGGCAATTGACAGTCGGGTGGATTGATTACCCGCTGGGCGAACAGTTGCTTTCCCACCGGAGCTGTCCAAACACTGTGGTGCTGAATGGCTTTGGCAACTGCACAAAGAACTTGGAAGAATGTTGCCCCCAAGATTGCTCCATATTTACAGAGCTCCCATGCTGGCAGGGCAAAATTAGAAATGTCATCGTTTTATTCATACGGTGATGGTGGCTTGTTGTCATACCATATTCACTGTGATTTATTTGCCCATTTTGAAAGTGTAATGAACATACGCATATTTATTCTCTGAATGTGGAAAGGGGTTGTATGCTTTTTTAAAAAAAAATTGTGGACAGATCTCGGTTTTAGACGCCATCTGAGAATTTCAACAACAAATAACACAAACGCCCAGGCAATGAGACGCAAGGAAATGATTAGAAATTGATAATTATGGGAAAGTTATTTTTGTATCTTCTTCCTCCCATCTCCCCCTTTCCCCCTTCTAAACCCAAGCAGCTTGGACTTGGCAGGGAAGCACACGCAGGCGGGGAGGGTTTCCATTAAAACTTCATATGCAAGGGAATTCTTAAGGGAATCCCTCCTTGGGAATTCACAATCCATGAGCATTGCTTTCCTGAAAATGATGTAGAAGAAGAGGGGCGATGGGGAAAAGATCACGTCTGGTCTCCGTTTCAAGTAATTTGGTATTACTGGCTTCTTGTTTCCTTCTTGAAGGTAGAAGTCCAGATCCATTTCAGAAAATTGTCTCAAGAAATGCAGACTGATGGAGCCACTGCCGTGCATGTTAATTATTAAGCTGATGAGCAAAAAAAGCAGGAAGAAGCGGAACCACAATGATTATTTTTTTAACTTCCTGATTCAGTTATTTGGCTTGAACATGCACGCAGGAACGCTTTGAAACATCGAGTTCTCAAAACTCAAAATGTTTATATAATTTAACAGAAAATAAGCTCCACTGCTTTCCACAGCTGAAGAACACACAATGTTTACGATAGTTTTAATCAGATTTTGTCGATTAATTTTAATTGTGTTTTCGCTTTTTATATACAGGTAGAAATATTAGACTTTCTCCTTGAGCATGTAGCAAGAAAATAATATTTATTGGGTAAATAATGTTTGTTTTTCTGATAGAATCTGTTGCCATCGAGGAACACTATTCGCTTGTGCTTTTTTAACTTCCACTATAATTCGTGTGAGCTGATACAAATAAAGTTTATTTTCTCCCTTCTTCAAATAACTAATTTATGGACTTTAAAAAAAAAATCACTGAAACCTTCTGATGCGTTTCACTACAGAAAACCTGTTGCAAGCAGCGTTCGCCACCTTGTGGAAAGTTTAAAAGGTGCGTGACTCAAACTCGCGTTCAGAGCTATCTTCTGTACAGGGACTTGGGAATGAAGTATCACAAGACGAAAGCTTCACAGCCCTGCATTTTACTATACTTTTACTGTAGCTGAAGGCGCTGGGGAATCAAATCAGCCCATCTGAAATGGTTTCTCTCGTGTCTGGGTTTGTTGTTGTTTTCTAAATAGTTGCTTTCCCTCCATAACTAAAAGAGAAAGAAAAGCACAGAATTAAAAGCCTGTGATGGTTCTCAAAGCTACCAGCATGAGTTTGACCAAACTGCAGGAGGCAGTGGAAGACAGGAGTGCCTGGCGTGCTCTGGTCCATGGGGTCACGAAGAGTCGGACACGACTAAAAGACTAACTGACTAAACAACAACAACAAAAGCCTGTGATATTAGGAGTCTATGATTCCAACATCTTGATCCCAAATCTATTACTTGGACAAAAGTCTGAAAGCAGCACACTCATTGGTCTACTCAGTGGTAGACAAACACTCATTGATCTTCACTCATGGCCACATGGTATGTTTCTATGCTCCGAATAGTGTACAAGTGAGAAAAAGTGGAATTTCACTAGGAAAGGTAGGGCACTTTCCCTTAAATAACCTCTTTTCCAATCTTGCATTGTAACTGCACTCCAGGCCCCCTGCTCACACAATGATTAATGTGCAAGGAACCCTCTGTCATGTGTTCTGCAGGCCGTGCTGAATCTTTATAACACAGAGGTGCTGGGGCTCAACGATCCCCAGAGGCACATCCTCCTACCTAGAAGTGCTTTTTCATAATTCCAGATGTGCAGCGTCTGGTCTAGTAGCTCTCTAGTGTTTGTTGCCTATATTTCCTTCTTTCTGTTGTGACCAGTGGAATTCAGGAGAAGAAATACATTTTTTAAAATAAAAATAAAAATCCTACAAAGAACTTTATTCTAGGAGATGACATGCAAATAAACTCAGGAACTAACAGATGGTTTCTAGCATAAGCTTTTGTGGACCAGAGTCCACTTTGCTGGATGCATGAAGTGTTATCCTCGGCTGCCAAATGTATATTTGTGCCAAGCGGCAATGAAATGCAAAAAAATATATAGTCTATGGAAATGCTATGTGATGTATCTGTTATGCAAAGTGACCATTCATGACAGCAGAAATCGGTGATAACACTATTATCCTTTGTGTTGTTATGCTAATTAACATGGTGGGGCAGGAAACTGTTGTCTGCCCAAGGAAATAATTGGCACATATCTCATGTGTTTATACATGTGCCTATTAGCCTCAGACGTCCAGTGCACTTACACTACATGTATGAGGCATACGAAGCAGAATAGACACTATGTGCAACACAAGAAATGTCAAATACTGTACAGTATTTCCTACCCAGAAATAGTACCATACCCACATAGGATATTAGAAAGATGTTGGGTCTTGAGTATGTGTAAATCAATGTCAACCAGATTCTTGACTTGCATTATTCATAATTCATTTTATGAATCATTTGCTGTTCTACTGACCAGAATAAAAAGTAACTCATGATTTAATCATTCAGAAGTGGCTAGGTGTTTCCAGACATGGCTACCCACCTCTATCCCCCTCAATGGTGTTTAGACAGAGCTTTAGCCTGTAAGATTATTTTTTGTGTGTTCTCATTATTATTTACATTGTTCATATTTTATATGTTTATATTTCATCTGTCCTTCATTATGTTTTGATTGGCTAATGCTTTTGAATTTGCTATTTTGCCTGTCATAGCTTTTATCTCTTGTTGTTTGCTGTCCATGAAAAGGTGGGATATAAATATCTATAATGCAACAAATAAAATAAAGTATCCATAGTGATAGTTAGAAAAAAGCAAAATGGTATAGTCGAGATCAGTATGAACTGTACTATATAAAAAATTCAATAGAATATAACAATGAATGGCAGAATAGGATGAAGGCCACAATCCTAATACACTTACTTGGGAGTAAGCCACATTGAATACAACGGGACTTACTATTGAGTAAGCATGAACGGTGCTATTAAAATGAACATAAAGGCTGGTGCACAGCCAGTAAGAATTTAAACTCTGGTAATTTTGTTACCTTGAAAAGCAGAAACACTTCTATCTGTTTCAAAATAGTTTGTCATGTATGATGGAGTTCACAAATGCAGGGAGCTTTTTAAGTTTCACAAATCCAGAGCTTCCAGTTTTTCAGATTCAGGCAAAAGACTTCAGCCTGACCTCACAATAAAAGTTTGTTTCTACTTCGTTCTTGATCTTAGGTGCCAATTAAAGCAGCGTACGCGTGCAGATGCCTGGTATGATGCAAAATGCTCCATGTCTTCTACGCAGATGCCTTTTAGGTAGGATGACTCAGATATACACAAAAGAATGACCCAAGTAGAGCCATTTTTGGTAAGCTATTTTTCTACTGCTGTGTCCACATATGGAATGAAATGAAAAAGCTCGTCCATCAGAACAGACACTCTTAATTTCTGTTTCAGCCCTGCATATCCACTGACCGTAACATGGCGAATTATAATCTCTGTTTTATAAATGAGAGGTAACATGCTGAAAGACATGTGGGAGGGGGCATATAAAATCACCCCTCAAAGGGGGAAATGACACGGGGCGATGTACACACAGTGATTTGTGGTTCTGTAGCCTAATCTTATCCCTAGTCCCTTCCCGTCATTTCTCTCTTCTTTTCATGCATAGTATCTCACCTCATCCCATATCATGTAATCATTCCATTTCTCTCCATTCTCTCCTCCCTTAAAAGAACCATCCATGGTTTCCCTGTTACTTTATATCCTCATAACAATCCTGTGAGCCAAGATAGACTAGGAGACTGTGAATGACTCAAGGTTACCCAGCTAGTTTCAATTGAACTTGGGTCCCCCTTATCTTAGTCCAGAACTTGAACCATTACACCATACTGGCTTTTTACAACATTTCCTACTACCTGAGGCTGCAAACCAGTTCAAACTTACCTGGGAGGAAGTCCCGTTGAACTCAGCATGACTTACTTCCAAGTAGACATGCAGACGGCTGTGCTGCCCATTCTCAAGAATTCCCATGGCAACCACCACATATTCCTGTGGTCTGCATGTTGCTCAATGCAAGCATATACAAGCATATACAGAGGGCATTTTCCCAGAGGAGAGCAAACTGGGGAGTTGTGTTTTTTG